GGGCCAGCCTGCGTTCCTGGACAAGGCACATAGGGCTTTGGCCTAGATGTGGGACACCTTGAAGGGACCTTGGGGCAGAGGGGGACCTGGGTGTGGTGGGGCATCCCCAGGGCACGAGGGGTCTTGTGTTGCATGGGGACCCACTGTCCCCTCCACTTAGTTTAAAAACCACAACAAAACACATCTGTATTGACCAGACCAGAAGCACTGACCCCAACAGTCTCACTCACCCCTGCCAGGGCGGGAAGAACCTCTCGGCCAACCAAGCGAGAGAGAGGAGAGAGCCTGCCCCAGCCCCTCCCTGCCCACCCTGCCCACCCCCCAGAAAGGACTGACAGAGAGTGCTTTGCATAGATACAGAGTCAGAGGAGACAGCGATGGAGCCCGCCCGCTGCAGGAGGGGGCGAGGGCTCCCCTAGCCCCTCCTGGGCCGTGAGGAGGGGTTGGGTCAGGGTCTCGCTGTTGGGGGCCTCAGAGGTCGCTCTCGCCGTACAGGGCTGTGGAGAAGGACTTGTAGTCGAGGGCACCGAGCACCGCGTCGGGGCCCTGGTAGGGCGCCATGCGGGCGATGCAGTACTCGGCCTGGTCGGGCGGCAGTTCACGCCGCAGCTCCTCGGCGGTGATGAAGTTCTGGGGGCGGCAGGGACGCACTGAGGCACCGCCCGCCCGCCCAGGCGCCCGCCCGGGCCTGGCCACCGTTTCTGCCACAAGGACCCCTCCCCGTGCCTCAGGGCTCTCGCTTACCTTGTCCCCTGCCAGGACCTTGAAGGAGGCGATGACCTGGTCCGCCGTGTCTGTGTCTGTGGTCTCCCTCGACATGAAGTCAATGAAGGCTTGGAAGGTCACAAGGCCGCTGTGGTTGGGGTCAACTACGCTCATGATGCGGTTGAACTCGGCGTCGCCCTGTGAGGTGGGAGGGGACGGGGAAGGGGGGCACGTTAGTGTGGCGGGGCAGCCAGGCCCGGCGGAGAGCAGGCTGCACAGCCCCGTCTCGGCCAGCCTCTCCTGTCCTGGCTCCGGGGCTGACGGTGGCGGACAGAGCTGCCTGCACCCCCAGCCGTGGGCCGGGCAGTGCCTTTTGCTCCCTCCCTTCCCATGTCTTTTGGGAAGAGGGGATTGGGTGTGGATCGAACAGGTCTACTGCTCCTCAGCCTGAGGCTCAAGAGTTAGCTCTGGAGGGCAGGGAAGAGAGAGAGAGAGAGAGAGAGAGAAAGAAGGAAAGGCAGAGAGCCAGGAGGACCAGGCCTCCCTGGAGATTTAGGAAGGGAGGCAGGCACAGGGAGTCAGAGAGGGACCCCAGCCCAGCGGGTGCAGCCAAGGAGGAGGGGTCAGGCTCCGCCATCCTCGGCCCTGAGGACTCGGAGACCCTGGAGGCGGAGGGGGTGGCAGGAGGAGTGGCGGCGAGGTGGGGGAGGCAGGGCCAGCGTACCAGGCTGTATCCTGTGGAGATAAGGAGAGCCCTGAAGTCGTCGGCGTCCATGCTGCCCGTCTGCTTCTGCTCCAAGGACGCGGGCAGCAGAGGGGGCAGACCCAGAGAGGCCAGAGGGGCCCGCCCATGTGCACAGCAGGGGACAAGGACAGTGCAGGGAGCGGGGAGACAGAGGAGGCCCCGAGAGACCAGGTAAGGGGAAGGTGTCCGGAGAGACACAGGGGCAGGGAAGAGGCCGAGAGAGCCGGTGACATGGGACACACGATGGTGAGGGGTGGAATGGCAAGAGGGTGGGGAAGAGAGAAAAGGAGAGAGAGAAAGAAGAGCAGTTAATGCCAAGTCCGCCGGGGCCCAGGGGAGCGCGTACCTGCCGGTCATTCTCCACGTCGTAGCCCAGGCTGATGAGACAGGCCTTGAACTCCTCAGGCCCCAGCGCCCCGCCATGGTCCTGCCGGGGCATCCCAGTGGAGGTGTGCGGGAGCGAGGTGTGCGGACCAGGCCGGCGGACAGCGGGGAGGGGCCGGGGCCACATGCACAGGGTAGGGGAGGGGACACACGGGGGAGGGAAACACATAGTTAGAGGGTGACACGGACAAGGTGACGGGTGGGGGGCCGAGCCACATCCGGAGCTGGGCCCCTTTCATCTGCCTTCCTGCAGGGCGGCCGGGGCGGTGGTGGGAGCTGAGTGATGCAGGATGGAGGGTGGAGCCCCAGGGCTTGTGGGGGTCGGGGGAAGGCCTCTCCTCGCTTTCAGGATTTGGGGTGCTCAGGACATGTGGGTCCCCTGCCTGAGTAGAGCTGAGGATGCACACACGCACTGACTGGGGCTCAGGGCCCTTCAAGGGGCCCGCGGCCGCGTAGGTCTAGAAGTGCCAGACCGAATCGGAAGCTGTGAGACGCCGTGTGTGTGGACCGACTCACAGGCCAGGTCTGGTGTCTTGGCTGTGCCGGGACTTAATCCTTCCCAGGGTCTCAGCAGGCTGGCCAGGCTGCAGCCCCTCCCCGCCACTGTCAGGCAGCTGTGCTGGGGGTCCCTCTGAGCCTACACCTCCACACCCCCTCAGCCACCAGGCCTCGGGCCCACCGGGCCCCGTGAGCGGTGGCTGCTGCTCAGCCTCACGGACGTGAACGAATGGACAGATGCAAAGACGGAGGGGGGCAGGATGGGACGGCGACACTGGGGAGGGAGGACGCCAAGGAGGGCGGGGGCGGCTCACCTTGTCGAAGTGGTTGAAGGATGCCCGGAACTCCTGCATCTGCTCCTGGCTGATGCCCTTGGCGTCACGGGTGAGGATCTGGTTCTCCACCTCGTTGATGGTGCGGGCGATGGTGGTAAGCAGCTGCTCCCAGCCCACGCGGATGTGCTGGGAGGGAGGAGAGAGAGCACGGCTGCTTGCTGCGCCGGGCAGTGGTCCTGGGAACACTGGAGCCACAGCTGAGGGGAGCTTGGACCAGGGGTGCTATGCTGGATCCCCCTCCTGGGAGGGGGTGGCCTGGAGCCTCTTTCTTTCCCCAGCACGCATCCAGGCCCATGTTCCCCTTCCCATCTCTCGTCTTCACACGGGACAAGGCCGTGGCACCCTCATTTTAGGGCACCTTGTCTCCTCCTGCCTCCAGCCAACCAGCAGGGTTCAAGTCACTGCAGTACACATCCCAGTGACTGATGCAGGAGAGGGGCTGGGACCCCAGATACTCGGGCCAGGACCTCACTGCACGCTCCTGGAGGCGTGCTGGTAAGTGGTTAGCAGCTGGCTCTCCGGGGGAAGCAACCACCCTGCCGACTTGGTGGCATCTGCTGGTCTGCACGGCGTACCTGGTAAATCCTCCCACCGTGGACGGTTTCAAGCTAACAATAACAACGGCCAGATTGCAAAATCCCTACAACTTTTTAACAGTCGGCTCTTGCAAGCTGGAGCCAGCTGAGCCCACACGTGCTGGGTGGACCTGAGGCCTACGTAGGGGCAAGTACCGCCCCCACCCCCCCCAGGTGGGCTTGTCCTGAGAGGCACGCTGTCGGGGTGATGGGAGGGCACAGGAGGGAAACGGCGGTTTTCACAAACGTGCCGATGGAACCTCTCCATCCACGCTTCGACAGGACGAAGCGGGACACAGAGCAGACAGCAGCCAGGTCTGGGGTCTACGGGGCACGTAACGCTTTCTCGCGAAGAGGCCCTCTAGCGGCCGCGGGCAGCCGGGCCGGCGCGGCACGCCCTACCTCCATGGTGTAGTTGGTGTGCTTGTTGTCAAAGATGAGGGCCTCCTGGATGAGCTGGTGCTGCTGCTCCAGCAGGTCCAGGTTGGGCTTGTAGTCCACGATGCTCCGCTCGTACTGCTTCAGGTGGTCCAGCTGGTCCTCCAGGGTCCCGTTCATCTCGATGGAGATGCGCCCGATCTCCTGCACAGAGCGGGTGCCGCCGGGGAGGTGCAGTGAGGCCAGGGAAGCCCCGCCGCCTCAACTGGCCACCAGAGGAGGCCTCTCAGGTCACTGCCGGGACCCCTGCCCCTGGGCCTTTGCCCACTGGGTCCCCCCAACACCGGGAAGGCCTCCTGCTCTCGGCTGGGCCTTCCAGTACTGCCCCCTAGTGGTAACAGCAGCCATGACTGAGAGGCTCTCTAGGCCAAGTGTACTGCATGCCAGTGAGGCAGGCCACCTGGGGAGGCCTGGTGGACAGGTGTGGCTGTGCACGTGGGAACTGAGGCCTGAAGAAGGTAACTTATCACAGTAAAAGGCAGAGTCGGGATGTGGGCTCAGGCCTGGCTGGGTTCAGCACCTGTGCTGCCGGCCACAAGCACCCCACACCCTTGGCTCCCAGCAGCAGGCTGTGCTGCACCCGCGCGCTGAGCGGCGGGGCCGACCTGCCAGGCACCTACAATCCCGCTCACGGGCTGCTCTGGGACAGCACAAGACTGCTCCCTGTCAGCACAGTGCCTGGCACGTGCTGAGCGCTCAGATGGTGGCGGCCAGTTACTCAGCATTGTGACTGCGTGACGAGGGGCATCAGCGAGCACGCTGGGGGTCTCTGCTCTGACCGCCCCGGTCACGCCTGCGGGGCCCATGGTGGGCGGCCACAGAGCGGCGCACAAAAAAGTATATGCTGGAGGACTGAGCAAATTCCACCCCCATCTTGGAGATGACAGCTGAGGATCAGAGGTAAGACGGTGCTCATGGGTCAAAGGCAGAGTCGAGGCTCAAACCCACGTCCGTCCGACCCCTCAGCCCAGTTTCCCGCTAGATGGCACTGCTGCTTTTAGCCTATAATCTTGCGGACCCTCCTAGTCCCACAAGGCGAGCAGGCCGGTGGGAGTCGGGAACCCAGGCCCAACAGACCTCCAAGTCCACTGGCCCCAGGGAGCAGCCAGGGGGCCTCCCTGGACACTGGGCAGGTGGGGCGGGCGGGCCTTACCTCCATTTTGGTCTGGATCCAGGGCCCCACGATGTTGGCCTGGCTGGCGAACTGGCGGCGGAGGTGCTCGTTGGACTGCTGCTTGCTCTGCTCCTCTAGGAGGGCCTGGTCCCGCTTTGGCACCAGCTGCTGCACCTGGGGGACGCGGTGCGGGCGCAGTCAGGGGGGTGCCCCCGCTGGGCCGGCCCAGCCCCAGCCCCTGCCTGCCGGGCCCCAGCCTACCTTCTCCCACTTGGAGTTGATGATCTGGGGGGTAACGGTGGTGTAGGGGTTGCTGCCCGACAGCTTGATGTGGTTGCTCTCGGCAATCCTCTGGGCCTCCTTGTGGATGGCTAGGATGGCCTCCCGCTCCTTGTCCGCGTCGGGCAGGGTTGACTTGAACTGGTCGTGGGCTGAGATCAGGCCCTGGGGGGAGGAGGGCACATGAGCGGGGCCGGCCCAGCCTCACGGGGGTCCCGCGAGCAGGCGGGGGTGGCGGAGCCAACCTCGATCTCCTCGATGGTGTGGACGATGAACATGTCCTGCAGGTCCTCCATGGCGCTCTCCATCCAGTTGTTGAAGGGGGCGGCCCGCTTGGCGTACTCCAGGTGCAGCTGGTCGATGGTCTCCAGCTGCTTCTCCGTTTTCTGTGTGCGGTGGGTCGGGGAGAGGGACGGGCGCAGGAGGGAAGGTCAGTCACTGAGCAGGAGGAGGTGGGGCACAGGGGTGGGGCTGGGGGACAGAGGAGGTCCCCTCTGGGTAGATAGGGGTCTGGGCTCCCTGGTCCACGCCCCTTCCCAGACCCAAGGGCAGGCGGCCCAGGACTCTGGGGACACCTCCCGCCTCACCTCCAGGGCTTCCCTGCGACTGTGGGTCAGAGAGCCCAGGGCGTCCCACTGGTCGCAGATCCTCTGGCAGCGCGTGTTCACGTTGTGGGAGTCGTAGTAATCCAGCTCGCTGCGGGCCGGGCAGAGAGCGGTGGGCCCCCGCGTCCCAGGACCCAGCGTGGCGCAGGCGGGGGTGCGCTCAGACCCACCCGCCCAGTCCCAGGGACAGTGAACGCTGAAGGATGTCAGCTGGCGACCCGCCCTCCTGCTGCAGCCCACCGCACCCCCAGGGGGCCCAAGGGGGCCAGGGAACAGCAGAGGGCAGGGGTCCTCCTGGCACCCCCTTCACGATTCGTTCTTCCCCGCAGGCTAGCTCCCTGAGTGCGGGCCTTGAACCACAGCTGATATGTGGGCCGCTTTTTAATTTAAATAAAGTCTAGCAGAGTGCAGCGGTTAATAGAATGGGCTCCAGAGCCAGATTCCCTAGGTGTGAATTCTGGTTCTGTCATTTTCTAGCTGTGTGTTCCCTGGATGGGTGGCTCCCCTACTATGGATACCTCAGTTTTCTCATCTGCGAAATGGGGACAGTTACGGTGGGGAACAAATTAATTAATGCACGTAAAATGTTTAAAACCTATTGCCGTCAAGTTGATTCTGACTCACAGCCACTCTATAGGACAAAGGAGAACTGCCCCATAGGTTTCCAAGAAGGAGCTGGTGGATTCCAACTGTCCACATTTTGGTTAGCTGCCAAGCTCTTAACCACTGCGCCACCAGGCCTCCTTCCACTATGAGTTGGAATTGACTCGACAGCAATGGGTTTGGGTTTGGGTTAAAATGCTTAGAACAGTGCCTGGCACCCAGTGAGTAAAAGCAGCAATAGCTATTTATTTAAGATTGCGCATAGACCTTAATGGGTACTCAGAAAACAATACATGGCTACCCTACACACTTTCCGATTTCTTAGTCTCATTCGAAGCGATCTGTATTTAAAACAAAAACTTAAGAAAAAAAAATACATAAGGTAAACAGTGGTACGCGGTTGTTGCCAGTTGCCATGGAGTCAATTCTGACTCATGGCAGCCCCGTGGGGTTTAAGGGCTGTGACCTTTCGGAAGCAGATCTCTAGGCCTGTCTCCTGAGGCGCCTCTGGGTAGGTTTGAACCGCCAACCTTTAGGCTAGTAGTGGAGTGCTGAACCGTGTGTGCCACACAGGGACTCCAAATAGTGGTATATGGACTCTCATTGTTCCTGGTCCCCACCTCCACCAACACGCCCCCTGCCCTTCCAGTCCTGTTGTCAGTGCCGGGGTCCCCATCTCCGGGGTCCAGGCACCTGGATACTCTTAGCAGCAGGATCCAAGAGTCACAGGACAGGAAGGAGCCTTTGGGGTGGGGAGCAAGGAGCACCCAGGGAATGTAGGGATCAGGTGGTCATCGCCTGTCTGGTGAGAAGGGGCGGGCAGACAGGGCTAGGGGAGGACAGCAAGGCTGGGCTCCATGCCTGTCTCAACCACTCCCTAGCTGTGTGGGCCTGGGAAAGCTCCTTGGCCTCTCTGTGCATGGGGTGGCCCACATAGGGCACAGTGCTCTGAGTGTCTGTCAACACCATGAGTCCATGCTCAGCCAGGATGCCCACCAGGCTCACCCTGGGTGGCCCGTGGCCCTCTTACTTACCCTTGGGGGGATAGAGAGCACCTCAAACAGCCCACTGTCCAGAAAGCTGCTGTGAGTGACTGCCTGCTCCCCACTCAGGCTAATGGGTTTCATATGGCTGCTCCCAGTGCTTGAGGAGAGGCTGGCCTAGAATTTATCCCACGTCTGCTTCCTACCAGCTTCCAAGGGCTTCCCCAGCATCTGTTGGCCACTATCCTCAGCCTGGGCATGCCCGGATGTAGGAGCCTGATCCTAGGAGAGGCCGCAGGACCCCAAGGAGACCCCCAACAGTGCCCAGGAGGGAGGCTATGGGTCCCAGTCCGTGGTGCCTCTGAGTCCCTGTGAGCACACGAGAAGCCCACAGCGGCAGGCGGTGGGGAGCGTGAGCCAGGGAGGAAATGGGCCCTGCCAGTGCGGGCTCCCACGGGCATCACGGCCGGGCCCCAGCCCTGTAGGGACAAGCAGGACTTGGGGCGAATGTGGTGGGGAGGGGCATCCGTGGAAAGGGCAGTTCCAGCCAAGGATCCTATTTTTGAGCAGATGGCTATTTTGGGAGCCCTGCGCCCTCTGGGGCCTGCAGATTTTCCATGAAGTCATGGCCTGGGCCTCCCACCCGGGCCCTCCCTGCTGCTGGCTGCGGCCCGGGCGGAATAAGGCCCCATTCACTGGCCCCGGAGGCTCAGTGTACTAATTGTGTGCCCAAGTTTATCTGACTGGGGCGGGAAGGGAGGGAAAGGAACTGGGCTGCCTGGAAGCTCTTACAATAAGTGTATTCTGAGCAAGAGAGAGGGAAGGGGCTGGGCAGAACAATGGGCTCACTGTGCGGCCGACTCCCCGCGGGAGAAGCGGGTGGGGGCAGTGGGGGCCAGGCCGCCTGTCCCATCTGCAGGCAGGGAGGTGGAGCCCCAGGGACCCCTGAAGCCCGAGGAATCAGGGCCGCCCCTCTGCCAGGAGCATGTAGATGCCGTCCAGGGTTCAGACAGGCTAGGCCCAAGGCACAGCCCCATAAGCCCATCGCAGGCCCTGGCAAGGAGGAGGTGGACAGGGCTGGGGGCCCACGCCAGGCTGAGGCAGGCTGGACCTGGGGTGCTGCTGCCACCACCGCTCCTCGGGAGGGATGCAGGAAGAGCAGCAGGTGGAGGGGCTTGTGAGCCCACACGTACTTGAGCTCCTGGGCGATGGCTGCGATCTGCTCCACGCGGTCCTGGTGCGCGGCCAGGTCACTCTCGAAGGCCTCGTGCTTGCGGATAAGGGCTTTGATGTCCGACAAGGTGGCCGTCTCGTAGTCCCGCTGCTTCAGCATGGCTTCCTTCCCTGGGGTGGGAGCCGAGAGCAGGGTATATTCAGACAACAGCGGCTGGGGGGCAGGGCAGCCAGAGCCCGGAGCCATGGGGCTGTAAAGCTGGAGGCAGACTGTGGCAGAAGGACCCCACATCCTGCCTGGCTATGAAGGGTAGAAACTCCCCGGGACCTTCTTCCTTGCCCCCCAGGGACCTCTTCGCCCAGCTATGGCCTGGATGGAGCTGGGAGACGCCTTGGGGCCAGGGGGCCAGGGACACATATCCTGGCTCAACCTGCGTGTTCTCAGCTCAGCATGCCTTCTTGGAAAGAAGCCCCATGGCCGGAGCAGACACCACTTCTGGAGGGTGGTGCTGTGGATGGAGAAGCAGCTGGGGCTGGAGCCCAGGCTTCAGTAGGGCTGGGGAGGGGGCGCGTGCAGTCAGGGTTCCTCTGGGAGCCTGGCCCTGTGCCTGCACTCTGGCTCCTGGGGCTGGGCTCCCTCTGGGTGGTGGTCCTATCGCACACTGACGCGCCACACCCTGCGCTGAGGCTTTCTGCTGGCCTGGCCCTTTGAAGGAAGTGGGGAACACTGTTATTAGCCCTGGAGCCTGGCTAATTACATAGCCCAGAACAAGGGCTCAAGTAAGGCCAACAAGCAACCGAAGCAACAAGCAGAGAACCCAAGGGGAACTCTGGCCTGGGAAGAAGGGGCTGGGACGCAGCTCCTAAGGGGCCCTGCTCCAAGCCAGCTATGCTGGCAGGGCTGGGCAGCTCAGAGGCCCCTCTCCTCAGCTCTGCAAAGGCACCAGGTAGCTGACCACCAGCTGCCCAGCCCGGGCACTTCTCTGACCTGTTTCCCCTCTGTGAAGAGGAACGACCACCAGCACCTGTGCTGCGTGGGGCTGGGCTCGTTTCAGTGCTCCAGAAGAGCGGGCACACAGCCAGCGCTCTCCTCATCTCAGCCACTCCTCGGCTCCTTTGTCCGGCACCACCACCCACCCCTGGGATAGGCCTGGCGTTGGCAAGTGAGAGGTGGGCAGCCTGGGAGACCAACTCTACCGGCCCGGCCACCCAGCCCTAGGGCAGGAGGCTTAACCACAAAGGCAAGCTTGCAATTCTCCTCCCCAAACTGCTTGCTCCCCAGGGTGGGAACCAGAGAGTAGATTACTACCCTCTGCACCTTGGCGGAGTTTCAGCAAGGGTGCTGGCCGGCAAGGGCTGGACCGAGAGGAGCCAGGAGGAGTGGGGCACGGCCTGCAGCTGTCCTGGATTAGGCCGGGGGGCAGCCAGAGAGGAACTGGGGGCTCGTTTGTTTTTTCCCCTGGGACAATCCAAGTCCTTTTGAGAAGCATCCGCATGGACCCTCGCCCTTGCAGGCTGTGGGGAGGATGGTGAGGGGGCCAGAGTGGTGCCTCAAGCCGGCCCTCTGAGCCCCCACCCCAAGGGCTGAGGACCTCAGGGGTCCAGAGGGGCCAGAAGGGAGCTCATGGCCCGGCCTTGTCTGTCCTCCAGTTCTGGACAGAGGTCTTGGGAATGAGAGTCGGCAGGCCTGTCTGGGGGCTCCAGGCAGACGAGAGGGGCAGGGCAAGATGCCAGGGCACCTGAGGGGGAGGCAGATGCCAGGCAGGGGTGGGGCAGGGGCATGTGGAGGCTGCTGAACCATTTGGGTCTTCGCCCAAGACAGAACCGACTTCAAACACCTTCAGGTGAATACCAGCCCCGGGAGTCACTCCCAGGGAAGGTGCTCTGGTGGGCCGTCATGCCCACACCCCTCAGCCTCAGGAAACCACCCTCCCAGGGCCTCATGGGCCCTCAGGCAGGACTGAAGTGCTGACAGCACGGGCCATGATGGGCCCCAGAAGGGAAATCCACAGGGATGACGCCAAGGGCCTATGGAAGGACAGAGATGTGACTCATGGATAAGGACAGGAGGAGATCGCAGTCTGAGCATGGGACAAGAATTCTCTAACACCCAGCTAGCACACAAGGCCCTTTGCCAAGAGAGATGCAACAGTCTGCTGGGCTGTGGGCTCCCCGGGCAGTGACCATGTCTATCTGAGAAACTGCTGTGCACAGGGCCAGGCACAAACAGGCTCAGCAGATGTTTGCTGACTGAATGAATGAGCAAAAGAACTAAATGCTCCCCACCAAGATGGCATCACAGCCCACACCCCGTCCTCCAGAGGTGAGGGGATAGAACACATGGGCACCATTTCGGCAAGAGGCAAAGGAGGTGCCCGTGGCCCTGGCCCGGCCTGACCCTTCCTCACCTCCCCTTCTGGCCTCCCCCCGTCTGCATTCTGCCCTGGCACAGGAGGGATTAGACTGCTGCTCTGGATCTGGCAGCTACCGCTGGAGCACAGCCGGGCTGGGCCATCTGGCTAATGTGAAGAGGGCATGAAGCTGGGCCGCAGCCAGGGACAGAGGAGTGAGGTGGGCCCAGGTTTGCAGACCATGAGGGGGGTTGGGGGGCAGGGGCTGCTCCACACGGGGGCCTCAGCATCTGGCCAAGCACTGGGGCTGCCTGCCCAAACAGCTGGGTGGGAGGGGGCTGGAGGAGCTCAGTGAGGCTCCCATGGTGGGAGGGGTGGGGGTGGGCAACCCAAGGAAGTGTGAAATCAGCTGGGCAGTGAGGCAGGAGGGCCAGAGGCGACACAGCTGGGAAGGAGGAGGCAGAGGTGGGAGGGAAGGATTCCTGTGGGTGACTCTCAGCTTTCCCAGGCACTGGACGCTTTCTGAGGGCTCTCAGGCCCCCGGGATCTGGAATCTCAGCATGGTGTGGGTCCAGACCCAGGGCCGGGGACGTGATGGAATTCAGCACCCCGAGCCAAAGGGACAGGCAGCTGTGGAGCTGCCGAGAAACGGAAGTCAGAGCTGCCTTTCTGGGAGAAGCCATCTTCCAGAGAGAGCCGGGCCCCCCAGAGCCAGCTCTGGGACGGGGGGAAGGCGAGAAGGCGCTCCCAGGCTGGCCGCACCCCGAGGGATGGCAGAGCCAAAGCTCCCTGGCCTTGCTTTTAATAGGTGTGGTCATGAAGACGGGAACCTTCCAGTATGGGCTCTTCAGCATGCAGAAGCCCATGAACACAAAGGTGTGGAGAGAGGAGGGGACACAGGGTGCTAGACCTGCCCAGGTTTAGTGGGGAGCTGTTCCCAGGGAAGGTGGGGTGCAGTGGACATGCACAGAGGTCACTTCCCTAAAGAGCTGGGATGGTGCTCAGCTGAGGTCCTGATGACTGGCTTTGAGGAACCAGGCAGGGGCAGAGTGGACTGGGCAATGAGGAAGGCCGGGCACCAAACTGTCCCTCGCTGCCTGTGGCTGGGTGAACCTAAGACAGCACTTCTCATGTTCAAGTCCCCACGAAGCAGTAAAGGGGGCCTAATAAACAGGCCCAATGTGTGTGTGTG